TGGTGGGCACTGGCTGGAAAGCAGGCAGCAGGAGAGATTATGGGCTGGAGAACGTTGCTTTGTTTGTGAGACCCTTGGCAGGCTGTGGATCCTGGCTAGGGTATGGACCATGTGTTACCATACTCTAGTTGTGTGAGCTTAGGCAGGGCATGTGGCCCCTATAAGGCTCTTCAATTTTATCTGTAAAATGTGTCCAATGACAGGCCCTTTCATCTCTCGGGGTAGTTATGAGACCTAAGCGAAGCAACCCAAAAGGAGCTCTTTGCAGAGTGACTTCATGATGAATCCCTACTATGTGCAAACCAGGGCAGGAGGGTGTTGATTAGGGCTGATCCTTGATGGCATTTCAGATGGCAATTGGCAGGAATAAGCGACTGGATAGAAGCTGATAGTGACAGAGATTGCTGAAACAAGAGGCTGTCCGTTCATTGTAACTGGCCTTCACTCCAAGTGCTGCACTTGGAATGCTGAGAATCAAGAGGGTTTCCTGGAGGAGGAGGTGGCCCTGGAGAAGGCAGTGTTTGAACTAGTAACAATGCGGTAGAGGCAAGAGAGGGCAGGGCAGATAAAGGGCCCAGGATGTAGATGCAGAAAGAGTGAGGCTTAGGCCTGCTCGCACAGTCACTGAAGATCGGCCACCTGCTCCATGCTGGGCTGTGCTTTACAAATACCGTGGCTTCCAGAGATTATCCAAGTTAGGGACCGGCGAAAAGGCTCAGAGGGTAAAAGTACTTGCTAATCAAGCCTGACACCCTGAGTCTGAGTCCTAGAGCCTACGTAAAGGGCAAAGAGAGAGTGGACTCTACACAGTTGTCCTCTGGACTGCACACATGTTGTGGCATGTGGCATGCAACTCCTCCCCCACCCCCCCACCCCCCCACCCCCCCCCACCCCCGCTATTAAAACTCTGTTTAAGAAAGAAGGAGAGGAGCCGGGCGTTGGTGGCCCACGCCTTGAATCCCAGCACTTGGGAGGCAGAGGCAGGTGGATCTCTGTGAGTTCGAGGCCAGCCTGGTCTACAAGAGCTAGTTCCAGGACAGCCTCCAAAGCCACAGAGAAACCCTGTCTCGAAACCCCCCCAAAAAAAAAGAGGAAGGAAGGAAGGAAGGAAGGAAGGAAGGAAGGAAGGAAGGAAGGAAGGGAAAAGAACTGATCCAAGTTAAGGTGCCTCCGACTAAGTGGCATCTAAGAGAAATGCAGTCACAGAGGCAAGCCTCCTAAGCTTCAACTTCTTTCTAACTGTCTCCAATAAATCCCTGGGCTTCTAAGCAAACTACCAGGAGTCTCAACACTGAGTTGAGCTCAGTTCTCAACAGGGCTCTAGATGCCTCAGAATCAGGGCATCCAGAAATGCGGACACAGGGGTTGCTCTTGAGCAGCCATGTGCCCTAATAAGGGAGGTCTGCCAGCGGGTCAGACGATGGGCGGAGCATGCATGAAAGGTCAGAGGTGAGAGTCCAGGTTAGTGGCTGTGGCTATGGAGCAGGTGTTGGGGGGGGTGATTATCCTTTCATGTGCCTCATTTTCCCCGTCGAAGCAGAGGGGTTAGACAGGATCTAAAGCCCATCACAACCCCATCATCTAGGCAGACATCTTCCAGCCCGGTAAATCAGTGTTCAGTCACAAGGGATCAGACAGGGCCCCTGGTGAAGGACAATTATACCCTCGTGACGGAAATGCTCATATTTTAAACACAAGTGGCAAGGCGGACAGCAGAGCCCTTGAAATCATTGCATGGTGGCTTCAGAGGGGACACGGCTCCCTCAGAAACAGCTAACACTTTGTCTTGCAGCCTGACTGAAGCCCATCCCTGCCCCCACTCCTATGTCTGGCACCCTTTCTTAGAATAAAACCAAATAAAATCACAATCTGGCCTTGGCTACTCCAATTGCTCAGAGTCAGGAGCACTGGCCAAGTACGGGGAGGGCAGCCAAGCTTCCATCACGAGCCTGAAATGATGCCTGGACAGTCATGGGTCCAACCTCCAGGGAGGGACCCTAGACACTTGTGGAATCTGAGATCTTTCCCCTCCCTGGTTCTCTGAGATGTCTCTTGCCCTTTCCAGTCCATCCATCCAAGTGAATGCACTGAGCACACATTAATGCCAGGCCTGGAGCTGGTGCCCCCAAGCAATTTTGGGTCAGACAGACATGGCTCTGGGCCTCTTTCGCACAGATGACATGCAGACATACATGGACTTAGGAGAACAAGTTGGAATTTGTCACGATTCTAAAGGACACCCCATAGAAGTCATGAAAGGGAGTGGAGGCGGGGAGTCTAGTTTGGGAATCACAGAGGACCTCTCACTCAGCTGTAGACTGAAGGTGAGAAGGAGCCAGGCAGGCAGAGAGCCACAGGAGGAGGAAGGACCTGTACACAAGGCCTGAAGCAGGGTTTGATGGGCCTGAGGAGCTAATGGAGGGCTGGGTGCTGGAGCACAGTGGCCCGGGGGGTGGCCCAGGGGGAGATCCCGGGGGGGGGGGGGATAAAAAGCATGGGTGCTACAGAATCTCACAGACCTGAGGAACGAGTGTGCTGCTCGTCCTAAACAGGATGGGAATGTTCATCCTAAATAGGATGGGAAACCACATAAAAAATTTAAATGGACTCGTCTGTGTCTGGAACATCCCTCATAGCCTCTGGACCTCACTCTCGTCTGTAAATCTGCCCTTTACCAATGCAGACATTCTGGAATGTCAGGAGCTCAGAGAGAGGGAAGCAAGGTGGCGGGCTGAAGACCATGTGGCCAGTGTCACTGGGCACTGGAGGGCGGGGCACACAGTGAACTTTCCTCGGCTGTCCTTGACAACAGCATTCATTGCACAAGAGCCCTCTAGAAACCTGCGCCTTCAGTGCCCAGAAAGAGAAACTGAGCCAAGGGTGGGGGGCTTTTCTCTTGGGGGAAGAGCCTAGACTCCTCCCCCAGTTCCCACTCTGCCCTACTTCTGGAGCTTTAGAGAGAGTCTTGTGGCTTGAACACACTAGAAGGTCCAGACTCCTGCATGCTCAGCCCAATGTCTGGCTTCTGAGAAGCCCCTTCCTGGAGCTGCAGGAACCCAGGCCTGAAGCCCTGCCCTCTATTCTCTGAGCTAAGAGAAAACCCCTTTGGACTTCCACGGCAGGCAGGAAACAGTCTGTACATGACAGTTGACAGAGAGTAGGGCTGGGCTTGGAAGTTCATGCCCACAGGTGAATGAGGCTTGTGTGACCTCGGATGTCACCCCAGTCGGTCGGCAGACTGTCTCCATTCCTTTATTACGCTGCTGCGTGCCCACTCCTTCCTGCTCACTCAGCTTCACAATGATGGCCTTTACCCCAAGGCCGTCTCTACCTGAGGGGAACCTCCTCATTCTTCTCCAGAGCCACCTGACCAGTGGGACGTGGCTAGTGGGAGATTAGAGATACGCCTTCCTTCCTAGACGTCCATAGCACACCATAGGATGCTGGGGGACAAGGCCCCATGTCCTTCCTAGCACTCAATGCGAAGCTTTTCCCTACCCTCATGAACAAGGCTTCAGAGGGCACACACGCACACACACACCCCTGTCTATACAAGGATAAAACATTTTCTTCTCCATCAGCTTTTTCAAGACTTTTTTGTACCTTGAAGCAGGGTATGAATCACCCCATAACCTTCCCCATCCCCCTTGTTTCACTGACCGTAAAAACGAGACCCAGAAAAGGTAAGTCATCCAGAGAATGGGTTATACAGAGGACTGGGACACAGGTATGGTGTTCCATATGCCCCACCAGTTCCTGGACTTGGCCTTGGGCCAGTATTTACCATCTTTGTACCGTAGTTTCTTCATTTCCCAACAGGGAGAAGACAGCACCCACAGCAGTATCTCATGTAAGAGTCCCGTAGGGTTAGGTACTATTACTCAAGGCACAGAAGTGAGTGGCCCAGCCTTGCCCCTCAAACATCCCTGGACTCAGACAGGTGCTTCTGTGTCCCTTCAGCTTCTAAGGAGCAGTGTGACTACAACCCGGGCCTGCAGCTACTGATCAAACCCTCCCCGCAGCTGCCCAGGGGAATCCATGGGTGCGTGGGAGAAATGGAGGGGAGGGAGAGGAGGCAGAGGAAGTTCCAGGCCTGCTCCCAGCTGGGGGAGGGGAGGGAGGGGCTGAACATCAAAGAGTAGGCAGGCCAGCTTCCCGCCCTCCAGGCCAGGTGGCCTTTGTCAGGACAGGCCAAACACAATCTGGACAATGAAGTATCCTGTTCACTTTCCTGCCAACAGGAGTCACTACTGAGCTAAAGCAAAGCCAGTTACATGACAAAGGGGGGGGACCCCTAAAGGTCAGGCTGTCCCTCATTTCACTGAGCCTTTGTCCAGCCCCCTCTCAGGCCTTTGAAGAGGGTGGATCAGAGAGGCCTGCCTGGGGGCAGGAGCTTCACAGGCTAAGGACCAAACAGCAGCCACCTTCCCAACTGCTCCTACTGCCCCTCCCCCGGGGTCAAGAGTTCATGGAGAGTCCTGGGGAGCCTAGGTAAGGACCCCTGGACCAACTCAACCAAAGGGGGCTTTGTCAACCGAAGGATAGGATCCTAGCTCTTCACTGTAGGGTCGGAAGCCAGTGGATAGGTGCGTGTGTGTGTGTGTGTGTGTGTGTGTGTGTGTGTGTGTGTGTGTGTGTGTGTGTGTGGCGGGTTTAGGAGTGGAAGAAGCTAGGGGAAGATCACCAGTGCCTGGGCTGCTGCGGAGACTTGGCATCTGGCTTTCTAACTCCGGTCTTGCCACTTACGCAAACCCATGGCCTCTCTTCACAGGGTAGCAGTTTCCCCAGCTATACAGAAGGATTCGGCTGGGTTACTCAAAGCTCTCCTCAGCCCCTAGATAAACGAATGACTCTCCAGGGCAGGAGTGGTAGTGGGCCACACTCTTGAGAAGTCAGTCAAGGCCAGGGCAGAGGTCAAAGAGAGGGCAGCCCGGGTCTCGCCGGGCACCTGCCAGGGCCAGGAGCCTGTCAGGAGGCCCGGGCGGGAGAAGGGTTCTTACCGCTGCCACTGCCGCCTGCGCTCGCCACGCTGCGCCTCATCCATTCGTAGGGCGTCCGCCTCTGCGCTCCTGGAGAGGACGGTGCGCCCGGGCCGCCGAGGGACTGCGCCAGGAGGCCGGGACCAGGCCCAGGAGGCGCGGGCACCGGGCTAAAGTCCGGAGGGGGCCCAAAGGCCAGCGGGGCCGGGCTGGCGGCGGGGGCCGCGGGGCCCGGGCCATAGGCAGCTGCCCAGTCGTCCTTGGGCGCAGGGAAGGGCGCGGGCCAGGTCGGAGGGGGCGCGGGCGCCGGCTCCACGTGCGTGTAACCCGCGAAGTCGGGGTACTGCGGGGGTGCGGGCGCCGGGCCGGGGGTCGCGTAGGCCGGAGGGCCCAAGCCGAGGCTGGCAGGCCTGGCGGGGCCTGGGTATACGGGGGAGTCCTTGTCCAGCACATAGCCCACGTACATGGTGACCGCAGGGTTCCCCGCGCATGCTGGGCCCTGGAGCCGCCGTGCCGGCCGGCCGCCCCGACGACCAGCGACTGCTCACCTGGACCCGCGGCCGCCGCCGCGCCCGCCCCACCCCGGCCTTTTATAGCCGCGGGCTGTCCGCGGCCCCAGCCGGGCGGCTTTGCATTTCAAAGCGGGGGGAAGCCTCGGGGCCGCGAATCAAAGGGGGAAGCCCGTCGGGCGAGGGGGTTCAAAAGGAGACAAATTGCCGCCCTAAGCAGGAGGTGGATGGGCCTGGGGGCTGGGGACCCAGAGGGCGCGGCCTGGGTAAGGGCCCAGGCACCGCTTCAAGTGTCGACTCCTCCTTCGGTGGTCTCGGGGACATCCCCACCACCGACCCCGGGTTACAGGTGGAGAAGCTGGCTACTGGGGGCGAGGGGGACCCTAGACCAGCCTCACGCAACACTCGGAGCCTGTGGCGCTGTCAGCAGTGACCACTAGCTTGAGGTGAGGGGGAGAGCAAGGCTGACTTCAAACGGGGTTCCGTCTGTAAGGTAGAGGGCGTCTTGGGGGGGCAAGGGTCACGACCCCAGATGAAAGCTGTGGGAAATGTGCATATGCAGATAGCCGGTCTGCATTCTACTGAGAGAGTTTCCCTTGTTGACTCCACAGAGAAATTTCTCAAAGGTGTGGGCCAACGGGTCTACTGGGGACACCTTGGGAAACTTCACAGACTCTCCGTGGTTCCTTACCTTTCCTTATTATTGTTGTTGTCCGGATGCTCCAAATAGACCCGAAAGCAGAGTTGCTTCATGAACCCACCATGCTGCTTCCATAATTACCAGGTTTCTGTCACCTGTTTTATTTTTATTTTTTTTTGTCTTCCGCCTTTTTTCTAAAGCATTTTAAAACAAATTTCAGGCTTCATGTCATTTTACCCCTACACATGTCAGCCTGCATCTCTAAAATACATGGGCAAATTCCTGTATTTATTATCTAATGCAGTTTATATTCAATATACTCCAACTGATTGGAGGAAAATAGGGTTTTGCAGATGGCTTGATGAATCCTCAGTGGTTATGGACGGGACCCTGGGGCCTTTTTAAATGTCTGTGTGTTCTTTCCTACTCCACTGATGACAGGCAGAAGCTCCACAGCTACTTGATCAGAAAGGGGTGTTTGAGACTCTGGAGGGCGGCATGGCTGAGGCGTTGGGGAGGGAGTCAGAAAGGCTACGTCTCTGGGTCAGGAAGACTAGAGTAGATGAGGACACTTCACATGGCGCCCAGGGCCAGGGAGGGAACGGTGAGAGAGTCCTCTGGGGTTGATCTTCTCTCCTGTTCTGGCATCATGAGATGAGCAGGGTGCCCTCAAAGGAAGGCAAACCCAAGTCTTAGCTGTTATGCTTCCTTTACAGGGCCAGTCGGCGTCACCTCAAGCCAGGCAGATGACCTGTGAAGATCACACTGTAACTTTCTGGAGGACACAGTGCAAAATGAAAATGCCAGGTCTGTTGTTCCAAAGATGACCTGGAATGGTGGTGGAATTCAGGCGAGCATGAGGTCCTTCGAAGCTGAGCCCTGTGCGACTGACTGCACAGATGACCCGCCCAAGAAGGTGTCCCTGACCGGGAATCACACGTAACACATTAGCAGCAAGCCTCCAGGTCCCCTTCCTGTTCCAGGGAAACTGCCCACTGAATGCCCAGGGAGGAAAGGGTGAACTCCAGTTCTTGCTTCAGTGAGAGTTGAGTGTGTGGCACAGTGCCGCTGACAGGGGAAGCCACCACAACCCCGGGTTAGAAGACACTGGCGATCTGTGCTCCACTGAGAGCCCGACCAAGAGATACACAGGCTGAAAGATGAAGGCTATGAGGGTGGAATTTTGCTCTCAGCTGGGGGAGCTAGGGCTGCTCCTATGGTGGGAAATGAAGGCCTGGGGGGGGGCAGAGACCTGAGGGCAGGAAAGCTTCAGGTATAGGGTCTGACCTACCTGACCAGAATGAAGTGCTCACTATACGTGAACATGAAGTAGGGGCTGCAGAGAGTGAGGTCACCACCGAGGGATTGCTGGACATCTCCAGAGGGATCTCGTTCTGGGGAGGGCGGGGGATTGGTGGCCACTAATCCCGAGTATCCTAGTTCACACCTAGTCAAGAGGCTTTGCATGTGAGATTAGAAATTCATTTGTTCCTGTATTCATTTGACATGTACAGACTTACCTACATGCCTGTGCCGGCACCATGCTCGGTATGGAGTGAGACCCTGCCTTAGGGGGCCTTCAGTACTAGGGGCCGGTGTGAATTAAGTGTTCACGGTGAAGAAGGGGATGTTACCTCTTGGTATTGCTCAGGAACTGGAGGGTAGAGAATTCTTGCAGAAGGAGGTGACACATGGGTGTGGGGGTGCTGGAGAGTAGGGAAGGGTGCTTAGTCCAAGGGTCAACATGAACAGAGGCCCTGAGGGCTCAAGGAACATATATCCCCCTAGAATTGATAACCTAATCTTGAGTGGGGGGGCAGGGGCCGTCTGAGAGACCCGCCTGACCCCCTGTACCTGGAGAGAAGTTGGACAGGGATTCTGAGTGCCTGGGGCATAGCCAGGATTTGGCAGTGGTTTAGAGCTCTAGGTCACAGTAGCAGGGGGCTGCAGCCGGGAAGAGCAGAGTCAGGGACCCTCCCCCTCTGCAGGCATTCCTGGGGTGCACCACCCTTCCTGAGTATTCCCTGCCCCTCTCTGGTTTGTGACAGTGGCACTTCTACTCACTGAGCAGGCGCTGAGAGTGAGGCCTCACACCAAGCGTGTATCACTTGGACCCGTCCTCATCACCCTCCAGGGAACCAGAGGCAATCAGTATCCCCACTTTCTTTTTCACATTAACATATGGATGCAGAGAGGTAAAGATACCTTCCTGAGATCACACAGCAAGTCCATGGCCTACCTATCTGGATGCTTTTTCTTCCCTCTAGAGACGGTTGACCGGTAAACATAGAAGAGTGACCCCAAACTCGTCTGCCTTCCCACCCCACAACTTGTTAGCTGGATTTTGCTTAAACAAATTGCTGGTTCCTCTTCCTCCCCAGGCTTCTCCATGCAAAAGAGCCTCTAGGCTCCCCTCACCCTCACCCCAGGTGGACCCCCCTCATCAGAGGCTTTAGCATCATGATGTAGCACCCCCCAGTTCCATAACTGAAGATATTGTAACCTTATTTAAAAGTGCCCATCTGAAACGGCATCCTCCACACCTCCAATCTGCCCTGCAAGCTGATCTTGAGTCCTGGGTTCCAGCCTCACGTGTGCCCACTAGGACGGGTGGCGGCAGCTGGCAATACCTTTGTGCATGGTCCCTACCTATCCTAAGTCAGCCTCTTCCTTTGGGAAGCCCCTTATCTCTGGGCGTGGCTGTTTATTGGCCCCCTCCTTCCTCTCTCTTTCCCCTGGAAGATCTCATTCCAGGCTGCTCTCCCAGGGTGGGGTGCCCAGAGGAAGGCCTCATAAAGATCTCACTGATAACTTGGGTTTATGGCCCTGGAAGAGAAAGGTTTGGGGCTCAGTTTCTGCTGAAAATGATTTTGCTTAAGAGAAGCTGGTAGGCGCCGTGCTCCCCCCCTATCCTGGTGAGCCCCTCCCTAGACAGCAGACCAAGGGTCAACCAAGCTTCAACCTGGCTCTGTGATGTTGGCCAGGTCAGTTCCCTTCCTGGATCCATGCTTCAGAAGCGGGGGGTATCTGTCCATGTCTCAGAGGCAGAGGTGAACCTCGACGTGGGAATCATTTTTGCCTTTCACACAATCCCGCCTACCCTGTCCACTGCTCCTTCTACCCCTCTAGAGGTGAGGTCGCCACCTGCTGTCTCTCTAGAGTATTACAAGAGGAGTTAGCCATTCCTGACGAGTCTTTGGCGACAGAGGCCCCTATTCTTCTGGGAAACAGTCTGCTTCTCCAGACACCAGGGACCGGAGGAGACACCAGAAGCCGGGCCCAGAGCAAGCACAGAGTGTCCTCATCAGAAGGGGTCCTTTGCCCGGCGATGTGCCAGGAACAAAAGTTGGTAAGGAGACTCAGTGGTCAACGCTAGACAGGACCCAGAGGTTCCAACTCTGACTCAGTTGCCAGAAAGCTCCCCAGCAACCCAGCCTAGCCTCAGACACCACTCTGTACTTACGATACCTGGTCCTGTCCACACTTAAGCTACTTAAGCTGGCCTCAGGGTAACAGCCAGGCTCCCATAAGCCCCCAAAACCCCCATGCTGTCTCCCCCATTTCCTCCCATCCTTACATGCCTCAGCATTACCTTTTCTCTCTTCTAATCTATCGTGTCAAAGTCTTTCTAGCCTCAGAAATTTTGCAAATGCTGTTCCCTTTGCCTCAAGCACTGTTCCCATTCTTGCTTCCTGAGGGCCTTTCAACTTCAGGTCGGAACCGAAATACGTCTTCCCGAAGGAGCTTCTGAGACCAGAACAAGAACCCTCATGTTCCCAACCCCATGTTCTCTGAGTCTCTTTTATTGTACCAACCACAAACTAGTATTATTAATGCTATTATTAATGCTATTTCCTTGATGCTTGCTTGTGAGTTCTGAGGGATTGGGGGGGGACACAGGTCACATAGTAGGTGCTCAGTGAGCTTCCTTCATGCAGATGCATGATGGGAGAAACAGGACAGCCTGAGAGTAGAGGTGAAGACCTGTTGTGTGACTTCGAGCAGGTTCTGCCCCCCTCTGGACCTTAAGAACCAGGGTTCCCATGAAGGAGAAACAATATGATCTTCAAGAGTCCCGCTGCTGTATGTCTTTAAGACTTGCGTGTGATAGGATGGACCACAGTACCTTGTGGTCGTAGGGCACTGCAGTGGCGTGGGGGAGGATGGCTGAGGGGGCTGAGGTAAGTGTGAACTCCAAATCTCCTGCCATCCTGGCATGCCTCACCAGCTACAGCCTGGCCCAGTAAGAAAAGTCCCATGAGTCTCTGTGGAAGGTGACTCATGTCCTCACTGCTCTCCATACCTGCTCAAAGCGTTACCATGCTGTGATGTCTGCTCTAAGCCTCTGGCTTTCCAGCTAGAGGGTCTACCTCTCTGCTCACAGAATGTTGTCTACCTATCTGCTCACGCCGTGTTGTAGGGAAGCTCACTAGGGTGGGGTGGAGGTCCCTGCAGCCCAGGCATCTCCCTGTGAAGCCCCCCATCCTCTGGACCTGTCCGGTGGGCCACTGTTGAGGGGGCCCTTCTGACGCTTGAGATGACGCTTGAGATGATGCACGCTGCTTCCTCACACCCGTGTCTGCCCTGGGAGCCTTCAGGGCAGGCACAGGAGCGTGGGAGAGCCAGCTGTGGTGACTGCTGGCCCTGCCTTGTGAGTGCTGAGCTGGCCCACAGGGACTTCTCCCATGGAGGCTCTTCTTCCGGTCCCTCAGTTCACCCCACAGAGTGCTGCTTCCTGCTCTGATGGTGAGGGAGATGCTGGGGTTTACACGGAGTCTGGCCCCCTCTCCAGGGCAGAATATGAGTGTAAAGTTGGGAGCAAGCCTTTGTTGGGGTCGTATCTGTGCCCACACTGCAGGATCCCATGGCCTGGCTTGAGCCACTTCTGTCATGGCCGCCTCCTATCTTGGCTGTAAAATGAGTGGGTGGAGGGACCTCTCTCCAGCTCTGTCACAGACTTCTGCGACAGCAGCCCCTGGGAACGGATACCTGAGGGTCCGTTATCCTTTGTAGCACCCTTACTGCTCTACCTCAGGCTTGCACAAGACCTGTGTGGGTCTTACACTCAATGCCTCTCACAGCCCGTGAGGTAGGCCCCTGTATCCCTGTTTTAAAGTCCCGAGGCTGGGCATTCTGCGAGTCACACAGCTGAGAAGCAACTGGGTTGCTCTGGGACTTTGAGCGCAGGCCCTTACCCCTTGCGCATACCCCCAGACTATGGAGGGGAGAAGGCCTAGAGCCCCCTCTTAGCTCTACCCGCCGTCTGTCAGCAACTTTCCCTCCCTGTTTGTTACAGGCAGGGAGTGAACGTTGCGTGGTTTGCTCTGTCCACAGCGGCGCTGGGGTCATGCCTGCCACCCCAGCATGATAGTGCTACCCGATCCCCAGAATGCCGAAGAAGCCACGAATGTGTGGGCACATACTGATGGGGTACTCTCAAATGAGAGAAGCCACCCTCCACCCCCCCACCCCCGGTCACTCTTCCCGGCGCCATGCTGCCCTGGAGGATACCGACAATCTCAGCAGGTCTCCACCCTGACTTACCTGTGTTCTAGAGCAAGAAACTGAGGCTTGGGTAACTTGGGGATTCATTCAGGTCCTCCCGCCTGGAACGGAGAGGCTGGAATCTGAACCTGACTTTAGTCTCTGGGTGCCGAATCTACCCCTTGGTTGTGACAGCTTAGCCTCATGATCCAGGCCTTCATAAGTACCCTGTGGCACACTGTGTAGTTCTGTACCTCCTTCCCCCGCCCTGCCATCAGGGGGAGGAAAAACAGCTTCTGTGCCCACCAAGGGTTAATGGTGGTAGAGCTAAATGATTCCAGATGGGCCAGTGGATGCTGGGCTGGCCGGAAACGGCAGCCCCCCCCAGCTTCCCCTGGGGGGCCGCCGCCACCACTGCACCCTCTGTGCTGAATCTTTGACCCCCAGCTGTCCCCTGCCCCGGGGCTGTCTAGTCAGTGTCCAGCCACGAGGGGGGCTGCAGCAGAACATTCCAGTCCTTGTGCAGCCGTGAGCCCAGCTGAGAAACTGAGGCCCAGCTGGGATAGGGACCCTCCAATGACTGTGAAAGCCAGGGCCTGATGTCCTCACTTCCTAAGGACTGTGGAGTAGACACTCTTCCTTGCTTCCTGCAAGCTATTCTGGTCACTGCAATTGGTCTGAGGTTCGGAGGAGCATAGCCAAGCAAAATTCTTGGGGTATAGTTCCCCCTTTCCCCCTCACCTCTCTTTCTGTTTTGTGATTTGGGACTCAAACCCAAGGAGTTGACAATTTCTGGCGGAGTCTTTGGCACAGGAAATCCTGTGTAGGCTTGACCCTGTGACCTTTGGCATCATCCATGCTGCTCCATGACCCTGTGGACACCAAGGCCTGGGTCAGGCGCTCCTCGTAGACACTCATTACCCTACATGGTCTGGGCCAGTCGGAGACCCCTCTTCCATACCGTCCTGCCCAGCACTCTGCTGAGCGATTGCTATTGAGGTGAGACCTAGCCGTGATGGCAAGATAAATAGTGGAGTCTCAGGTGCCTTTGATCTGAGACCTTGTCGGGACTGGAGAAGAGTGGGGGGGGGCAGAGACGCAGAGGATATGGTGGAAAGAGGGCAGAACGTAGCTGTGCGTGGTCTGGGATACCCCTTCTCCAAACCCTGGAACCCAGCTCCCCCGGGAGTGGGGGCAGCGGCTCTATTCCAGTCTCTGAGTCCTTTTGAAACAATACCCAGTGGGTCTTTGAGGGCCAGGAGTCTGAAACCAGGGATTTAGAGGTGGATGTGGAAGAGAAGCAGCCAGGGGCTCTGGGCGGGGGGGGGCACAGCTAAGCTGTGTGCCCTGGGGGGGGGGGGCAGTGAGATGGACAGGATCACCATGGGTGGTACCTTCCTCAACAGCTAAGCTGTGTGCCCTGGGAGGAAGGCGGGGCAGGGCACCTGTCTCTGAGTGTGGTTCCAGACAAACCTGGATCCGCCCTTGCGCCTGCTGTGTGAGCTCAGGAAACTCGTTGAACTTGTACCTCAGTTTCCTTGCTATAAAACAGGGCACATAACCCATTTCCTGTTTCCTCGGGGGCTTTAGGATGCTAAAAGGGAGTGAGCATGAACATGTGAGGCCATCTGCTGGGTGACCTTGGGCCAGTCATGTTCCCTCTCTGTGCCAGTTTACCTCTGGGCCTTTGTTTCTTCTGGAGAAAACTAGGCTGATGCTATCTTTCTTGGGAGAGTTTCAGGAGCCCCAGGCCAGAGACCTGACACCGGAGCTGCTCTGCCACCGCTGCCTGGAGTCTGCCTGGAGACTCCAGTCAGAAATGTGAGAGTGAAGCAAGAAATCATGTATAGCTCCAGGGTGGTCACACTGAGGAGACATGGGTACTGTTGTCCTAACCCTGTCTGTGGTACTGACAAGAGCTGGAGGGGAATAATCTAGGGCAGGGACCAAGAGGAGGGGTCTCTGCTGTCTCCCATCATCTTGTGGTTTGTCTCGCCGTGATGGCAGAGCTGGTCCCTGTGAGGTCCCACTGGCTGCCGGGAAGCTGCCGCAGCGTCAGAGGGGAGCTCAGCTCCCATCGTGCTTGGATTCCTGGGGGTGGTCTGCCTGTAAGACTCTGTTTCTGGAATCTAAGGATATACTTTTATTTTTTTTGGACAGCATCTTCTGGTGCGCCTGTCTGGATCACAGGCGTGCTCACCACTCTCAGGGGCTTAGTGGCCTTATCGTACAGCGAGTGTTTAGTCAGGCTCTCCTTTGATGACTGACTCATCTGTGTGCAGAGATGGACAGGAATGAGACCCAAAGTTTAAGGTAGCAGAGACAGCCCCAGGCCCAGGTGAAGAAGTAGCCCCAGGCCCGGGTGAAGAGGCGAGACTCAGCAGCAGCAGTCTTGAAGGCCTGATGACCAAGTGCTGTCTGATTTCCCCCAGCCCGCTTTGGGTCTTCCTCTAGTGCATGTCCGCCACGCCTCTAGCGGGTGTCTGGGAATGTCTCTCCAACTCAGATGGTCTCCAACTTACAGACTTCCAGCACCCAGTACTCACACAGGGCAGAAGTTCAGTGGGCTTGTTCACTGAGTGAATGCTGAGTTCACTCCACAGATCATCAGCATTTTCCATTACAGATGGAGAAACTGAGGCACAGAGAACACACACACACACACACACACACACTCCCACCCCAGGTGACATGGTGAAGGGGGGCTTCATTGGCCCACTATCGGGCAAGTGGAGCAGGCCACTCTAAGAAAGTGACTCAGTGGCTGGCGTGGGCAGCGGAATTTCTAAACATCCCCTCACATCCTGAGCAAGCCAGTGAAGGGAGGGAGCAGAGGGAAAGGAGGAAGAAAAACAAGAAACTTGGGGGAAAAGAAAGAGGGGGAAAAAAAAACCTGAAATTGAAAACAGACACACGCGTCCACCCTCCCTGCCCCACCTCTCGCCCTCCCTTCCCTCAGCTTGGCCAATCAGAATCGGCCCTGCAGCCTTTCCCCCAAAGTGTGTGGTGGGGGGGGGCACGTAAAGCCCACAGTGGTGTGAGCTCCAGGGCTGACTGTGGCCACAGTCCTGGCTGCCCTATCTGGGACGTAAGCTTGCTCTGGGAGTAACTTTGAGAGAGAGGAGAACAGAGAGGAGACCGGGAGTCAGAACAGGCCCCAGACCAGTCGTCAGCCTCCTGCCTGCCAGCGAGACCCAGGGCGGCCCTTCCAGGCTTCTCCGCTCCTCCCAAAGGATGCTTTTGGAGTGAGGAGGGGCCAGGCTGCTCCTGGCCCCTGAGCACCCTCCAGATCCCCTGACTCTCCCAGGACTTGCCGCAATCAGGCCAGCCCTTTTACTGTTGCACGCTTGGGGTCCAGCAAAATAACAGGACAGCGAGGAGGACTTCCTGGAAGGGGTGATAGTGGACACCAGAAGCCTGGTAAGTTCAGGGAGGAGAAAACCCATCCCGTGTCTTGTCGTTACCCTCCCCTTCCCAGCCTGTGCCTCTTTGTGCAGGGGGGAAAAGGAAAAATGTGTAACAAAATTAGATGGGGGGAGAGCGGGGACGCCTCTTGATATCAGGGCTGTCCCTCCATCCCACTTTGGTTAGCTGCTACCCCATCAATCCTGCTGCCTATCTGACCTCTTCAGACACCCCAGAGCTTTCTGGGTGCCAACTGAGCAGGACCTCCAAGGTACAACAAAGACTGTGGGGGATGGGGAGAGGTAGCAGGGACAAGGAAGGGAAATCCAGAGGTGGCTAATAGCTTTCGCAGAAGTGGGGAATCTCGGGATCCTAGCTAGCCCTGTCCCTTGGACCAAGTCTTGCGCCTAAGACTAAGTCTGGCTCCAGTCCAGTCAACTGCCAGGCAGACTTTGGAGATTTTTAAATAGATTTGCAAATTTTCCAGATTCCTAAGATGTCCTTCCAAACCCCTAGCCACTGAGAAAATTCTGGCTCTCCAAGTTTTGGATGGAGGGAAGTTTACAAACCAGCTTACTGGTCATGTGGCTGGGGTGGGGTCTAGTTCCGGGCTGTCAGGTTAGGGGGCTCCTCTGTGCAGGGCGGCTGTGGCTGGGCCATTTCCTTCTGTCACCGTCCTTCCTTACTCGTTCTCTCCCTCAGGACCCCTTCTCCACTCTATCCTAAAATCTGAACCAGATCTCATCACGCTTCCCTGTTGCCCAGATCTCTCGGTAGCTTCCTCATATCTGGAGAAAGCCCCAGCCCACTGCAGAAGGAATGTCCCAGCACTCTGAATGTCCCCTAGGATGCAGGGATATTTCTCCCTCTACCTTGATGTGACAACCACCTAACTGCAGCCACTGCCTGGTAGCAGGGCGGAGGTGACTCTAAACTTCCTCTATGCCAGTGTCCCAGGCAGACTTGAACCCTTGGTTCCAGCCTGGTTTCTTAGTGTCAGATGGTTAGATTCCAGGGTTTGTGAAAGGAATTTGCATCACCCTGCCTGTGGGCATGTGTCCTCCCCTCCATCCTGCTTGTTTGGAATGCTCTTCCTGGTCATTTCCCTCTCCTGGTCCCCCCAACTATACCTCTTCCAGGCAGCCCTCCCTGGTTCCTCCAGGCTTCAGGTGCCTGCCATGCCTTTCTACTGGCAGGCTGGCACTTGGCCTCTCTGCCGCTCTCTGTTTGCACACCACAACCTGTTTGGACCCCGCTCTGGCTGCTTTGTGGCCTCAGTGTCCAGCCCTAAGTTGGCAGTGAGAAAGTGGTGGCCAGGATTCACTGAAGCCTCCAACAGGTCTTTCTAAAGCGATCAGTCTTCAGCATAGGGAGCTTGCGGTCACGGTGGCACTGTCACCGGTGAGCGTACTTTGTATTGCTTACAACAAGGCTTCAGAGTCAGTTTTGTTATTCCTGTTTGCAGATGAAGAAACCAAGGCTAAGTGACTCCAGGCTCACACATGGGAGCTAGTGTTTAGACCGAGGTGGAGGCCAACCCAAAGGCTGCACCCCATACAGTGCGTGCCAGGAGCTCTCACTCACTCCTGCTGCGCTTCCTCCTGGCTTCCAGCATCCCCAACAGAAAGTGTAGCTTCAGGCCTAGATGCTTCAAGACTCTGGTCCTGAGCGAGGGGGAGGCTGTCTGGCAAGCACTTCAGACAACAGCATGGCAGTGCGGCGTTATCAACAGCCCTCTTTCCTCTGTGGGAAAAAAGCTGGACTTGTAATTGCTAGCAGATGTCGGGAGGTAGTGGAAAGCCCAGGGGATCCAAAGTCAGAAGCCTATTCTCGAATAAGCTCCCTGTGGTCGGCCTGGCACCCTGTGCTGCCCCATACCTAGAGGTTGTGAGCCCTCTGATCAACACTAGGCGTTAACTTTGTTTGGAGGAGGGGTCTCTCTGTGTAGTCCTGACTCTGACCTTCCTGGAACTCACTCTGTAGGCCAGACTAGTCTTGTTTTGTTTGGTTTTTATTTTTGTTTTTTCGAGACAGGGTTTCTCTGTATTATTTTGGAGGCTGTCCTGGCACTCGCTCTGTAGACCAGGCTGGCCTCGAACTCACAGAGATCCGCCTACCTCTGCCTCCCGAGTGCTGGGATTAAAGGCGTGTGCCACCAACGCCCGGCTGCCAGACTAGTCTTGAACTTGGACATCTGCCTGCCTTTGCCTCCCATGCCCAGCCAGGTGCTGACTTCTGATTTTGTTGTTGGCTGAATGTGTGGCCTGGTCAGCACTTTGCCTCACTGGGCCTCAGTCTTCTCTGTGAACAGTGTGACAGAGCCTGGTTGCTGTGACCTGTAATTGGGGAGGACTTGGGACCACAGCTGAGAGCAGCCCATGTTCTCTCTATTTCCTGTGTGTGAGCATTGGATAGGAAAATGATCTGTAACCCTAAAGACCTTTGACCATGGAAGGGACCCAGACATCTTGTACCTGTTTCTCCATGCCCAGTATACAGGCTGGCTTTGGGAATAGATGCCCTCGGGGCTCTAAGAGGGAATCTGGCTTTTGTTCTGAACAGGCTTTGTGATGTGGAAGAGAGGAGAGGAGAGGAGAAGAGAGGAGAGGAGAAAGGAGAGGAGAGCAGAGCAGAGCAGAGGAGAGGAGAGGAGTCACCAGACATTCCAGAAAGGCCCTTCTATTTCTTCCAGATGGTTGTGGGTCCTGAGCAGCAGGTCCTTGGAATGGGACTTTTCCATCGTCAACTCACTCTGGAAGCAGGGAGATAGGAGAAAGGAGTGGTCCTCCCCAGGTCCCTCAGTGGCACCTCTGCTATTGTGAGCAGAACCAAGTCCTGGACAGTTGTGTGTGTTTCTGCCTTGAAGAAACCTTGAAGTTCTCTCTTTGGTCATCAGTGCTTGGCATTCAGAAAGCTCATACGTATTTTCTATGTTAACTAAATCTTGCAATCTCGAGGAGTAGATACAAATTCTTCCCATTTTACAGATGGAGAAGTGCTCCAAGGGGCTATATCGGAGGCCCACAGTCCCACCCATAGGAAGTAGGGGATCTGGGATTAACATTTGGGTTTCTCTGATTTCAGAGCCTTGTGGAGGAGAGGCTGGGTGGGGCCTGGGAGCCAGTATAAAACTCCAAGGACTTGCCTCATCTGTCCTCAGCATTCCGGAGCGGGGCCTCAAGTCCCAGAATGCCATGTGACCATGGACCTCAGTCCTCCCTCAGTTGAACAAAGAGATTGACCCCGATGATCACTAAGCTCCCTGCCACCACAGAACAATCCCAGGATTCCAAGCCCTGCCAGGCTAGATTGGCAGCCGCACAGGCCCTGCTGTGTACTCTGGGATCATGCATATTTAACTTTACAGTGAAAGGGTTTTTTTTTTTTCTTCTTCTTCTTCTTACCCTTTCTCTACACATTGCAGAAAGAGGTCTGGATCAATGGCTGCTAATGGAAAACCTTAACCTGCAATAAGGAGGGGAACTTTCTAACCAGGAGAGGGCCTTTAATGTGCTCAGTTTCCAGTTCCAGGGCATGCTCCTGCAGAGTCTATGTGCCTGCTTCCTTGAGAGCAAGGCGGCTGGAAGTAGGGCGTGAGGGCTGTACAAGAAAAACCCTGGATGTCCTTTCCAGGGCTGAGCTTTGGTTTGAAGAGGAAGTAGGCTTGGGCCCTAAACAAAGAGGGACATTAGCAGGAGTGGTGGGAATGGACCCCAAGGGACCACCTCCATGGGAGCAGATGTAGGATTCACACACTTGCTACTTTCTGCACCTGGTACCCCCCCACCAAGTCTTGGGGTCTGGAGTCTTAGAAAACAGCTCCCTGAACCCCCAGACCTGGCCCCGGGACTCTTCTACTCCTAAGCACTTTCTTTGGGGGCTCAGACAATGCACAGCCTGGTGCAGGTGGGTGAAAAAATCAAAGTATGTCTGTGTACAGCTTTAATCATATTAATGCCCTCACTCCTGCCTCAGAGTACGCCTGTTTGATGTCTTGATGCTTGACGCTCTCATCTGCTGGAGGTTCCAGCTTCTCCATTCTGTGATGGACAGCCCTGTCCCTGGGGAGGGTCAGAGGCTCGAGAATTGCCTGAATGTCAGAGATGAAAAGGATTTCGGGGCTCATTTGGTTTGATTTCCCTATGGTATGAGGGTGGACCCAAGGTCAGAGAAAAAAGGGATGTATCTCAAGCTATGCAGATCACAGGTGATGGACCACGTGTGAATCCGTATCACCACCCAAAAGACAGAGGGCTCCCAGCTCTGCCTGCAGTCTATGGACCAGCCGTCTTGTCCCTCTGGAGTAAGGCTGCAGGGAAGATCTTTGCAGCAGAGGAACAAAGCCCACCCCACCACAGACCTCCCTTCTCTCTGGGGTCTCAGGTATCCTAGGTTGGCTTTGAACTGGCTTTGAACTGGCTGACCTTGAACTTCTGGCCCTCCTGCCTCCACCTCCTGAGTGCTAGGATTATGAGCGTGCCCCACCATGCCCAGTTTTTATGCAGTGCTGGAGACCAAGATTTATGACAGAGCAAGTGCTCTGCTAACTCAGGCACAGCCCAAAGAGCCTGCTTGATGAGGGATAGGAACCCCTGGTATGGTCTTGGGGATCATAAAGCTCCCCCACATCTCCACTGTGATGTAGTTTTCTCATCTATGGAGAGGGGAAGAGGAGGGAAAGATCAGTGGCTCCTGAGGCCCATTCAGCGCTGCCTTTAGCAGTGACAGCCCCCCCCCCCCCCCTGTGTGTCATGGCTGCCCTGTCCTCCTCCTCTTCTAGACAGTGTCTTATGTAGTCCAGGCTCGCCTTGAACTTGATATGCAGCTGAAGTTAACCATGACCTTCCGACCTTCCTGCCTCCACCTCCCGTGTGGTGGAGGTTCAGGCATGCACCACCATGCCCAATTTTATGTGGTGCTGGGTAGGTATCTTACTTACATGCTGGGCAAGCACTCTACCAACTGACCGACACCCCCCCAGCCCTCCTGCCAGGCTAATTAGGGCTGCTGGTCAC